TACACATAATTTCCAGATTCTAATAATAAATAATGTTAATTAATCATTACAAAATTTAACTTATCTTATGCTAATTTTCATACCTGTGTGTCATAAGTAGAACTTAGGTAAAAAAATCTAAAGATGCGCTCATAGAATGTATCCCATGTATACATAGTATGTATACATTCTATGGATACATTCTATGAGCGCATCTTTAGATTTTTTTATATTCGATTTGTGTTCTTTGATTCTAGTTTCTGTTTTTCTTTTTGTCTGTCCGACATACGAGGCATTGCAATCAAGGCAGTTTATTCTGTACACAACATCGCATTGATCCATTTTATCTAATTTGTCTTTACCTGATTCTATGAATCTATTTAGAGTGTTCATAGGTTTGTATGAATGAAACTTTGAAATTATTTTTTAAAGCTATATTATTAAATTTTTCAGAATTTTTATTTACATATGGAATAGTAAAGTAATTCTTTCTATTGAGATCATTACATTTCATGTTAGTGTTGTTTTTACATATACCATGTATACATCGAAGGAGCACATCGAAGACCACATATATACCAACCATAGCAGGAACTCCGAAAAAGAAAAACTTACAAAAACGGAATTTAAAATTAACAGCAGAAAACGCTTTCTTTTTGTCATAACGTCGCTTGAGTCAAAACGTTATATTCATGCGCATCATGGCTTAATAATTTTTATTATACATAACTTTTATTAAATATAATTTTGTTAACTGAGTGTTCCTATCGTTGTCTACATTACATCATTGAGACAATATGAGATGGTAGAATTGCGATAAGTGAGTTTTGATCTCTTCGATATTTTTAAATATGGACTGCTTTTTATGAATATAACCAAATTCTCACTGGACAATATATTTTAACTGAATTTCTGATTATGTATGTAAGATGTTTTGTTATTGTACATTGAAAATGACCCGATCGGTGTCGAAACGTTTGATTATTGTATATATATATATATATATACGTTTATTAAAGATCTTATATTGTAGTTGGCTCGTTTGCCCTTGTTTTATTTATTAAGTTATGCATGTTTCACAAGTATGTACTTCCAAACATTTTTTCATTAAGTATCTGCATACATATTTAAACGCATTTTCTTCCGGTAATTCCATATCGTAATAATCATGATTTGGGATATCTAAAATTGGACGCGATGAAGATGGAGTGAACACAGAAGGTGATGAAGGGCTCGAACCCGAAGATCCAATTAAATGTAACATATTATCATTATCTGCAGCACAATTTTGCGTATCTGTTTGCTGTAAAACTTTCATACTAAATAATTTTTTAAAAGCGCGAATAAACTGTATTGATGTTGGATTTAAACAATTACCGCCCTGTTGCCTAACCGAACCAAAGAAATTTTCAGCACAATCTTGATTTATTCTTCGTGTGCGTAAATGTGGAAAATCATGACATTTTAATCTGTTCCAAAGTAACATTATGCTTTTAATTGTTATCTGCCAGCATTCAAAACAGTTAACTTTAACACATACATTATTCTTATTAATTACTTTAATGGTTTTCATGAAATATATCATTTCGTATTTCTTAGGGTCTTCCTTACTTTTTCTTGTATTTTCCATCCTTTGTATTTTCTTTTGGAGTCTTCTAATTCTTTCGCGTAGTTTTTTATTTTCTGCTGTTAATTTTAAATTCCGTTTTTGTAAGTTTTTCTTTTTCGGAGTTCCTGCTATGGTTGGTATATATGTGGTCTTCGATGTGCTCCTTCGATGTATACATGGTATATGTAAAAACAACACTAACATGAAAGGTAATGATCTCAATAGAAAGAATTACTTTACTATTCCATATGTAAATAAAAATTCTGAAAAATTTAATAATATAGCTTTAAAAAATAATTTCAAAGTTTTTTTCATACAAACCTATGAACACTCTAAATAGATTCATAGAATCAGGTAAAGACAAATTAGATAAAATGGATCAATGCGATGTTGTGTACAGAATAAACTGCCTTGATTGCAATGCCTCGTATGTCGGACAGACAAAAAGAAAAACAGAAACTAGAATCAAAGAACACAAATCGAATATAAAAAAATCTAAAGATGCGCTCATAGAATGTATCCATAGAATGTATACATACTATGTATACATGGGATACATTCTATGAGCGCATCTTTAGATTTTTTTACCTAAGTTCTACTTATGACACACAGGTATGAAAATTAGCATAAGATAAGTTAAATTTTGTAATGATTAATTAACATTATTTATTATTAGAATCTGGAAATTATGTGTACAAGTACAACAATTAGATAACATCGGTTAACAGGAAAAATTGTATATGAAAAACAAAAAGAACAACGGATTATATAACATGTAAAGAAAAGAAGATACTCAACATTTAATTGTAATAGGATTATATGTTAATTTTAGTTATATACTGATAATGGCCCGATATGAGGTCGAAACGTCTATATATAGTTGATGAATTTGTTAGAAATTATAATTGAATGTAATTTTAAGTATTGACTTCGGAAGAAGATTCGCTATTAGACATCGAGCGCTCGTGGTAAATGCCCTTTATTTTAATTGTTTTTAAAATTTGACCACGTATTGACAATTAATGTTTACAAATATTATGATAAATTGATTGCCATTGCCAATGGCAACTGCCCTTAGGACTGCTGTCAGTGATTATCCACTGATTCAGGTTTATTTAGATTATACTTCCTTCCACATCTCTTCCTTTTCCTCTCTCTTTCTTCTTTTCCTCTCTTTCTCTTTAATTTTCCTTTCTTTTCAATCCCTTCTTTTCTATACACAATTTAACATCGTTGATAGTGTTAGACCGAAAACCAATAACTGAAAATAAAATATATAACACAAAGTATCGATTTTTAATGAAATAGTAAGAATAAAGGTTTTGTAATGAAAATATTTAATGAAACTTATCTGAGTAATCTCGAAGACGTTAACCTCTCGACATACATAACTTGACATACATAATAACTGTCAGAACACGTCCGCGATGATAGCCGTTCGCGAACAGTTCACGAATTATCATGTAATTATACTACTTTTACACCATGATCGGCGCAAAATAACGAATTACTACTTGTAAATATTACGACGAGATACTATTAAAGACCGTCAATCCTAGGTAAATTTTCGGCGGTATAAAAAGAGCCCGGAAACAATCGAAAAGTGCTGACATTATCGATAATCGATATAAATTTGCTATTATTAACATAAATATTTGACTAATACATTATTAAATTCATGATATTTTATTACATAAATGCTCTATAAATAAATATGCATATTTGTAAAGCTATAATATCCTATTATATTGCCGAAAAATTACATTTTTTTCTCTGCAATTATTATCTCTATTGATAATCAAACTTTGACGATAATTAAAATCACAATTTAAAAAAAAATCGGGTATTATTGAGTTTTAAATGCACGTACACCGATAAACACGTCTACTAAACTAATAAATCATAAAATTAGTACAATATTATCAGTTTTTTTTATTCTTAATCACTTCAATATTATAAGGACGCGAACTTCCATAAGGATGTCGGTCTTTAATATCTCGTCGGTGATATTACCAATCCGTAAAAAATAAAACTGGTGCCTCAAGGGCTTTTGTTGCTACCAACATTATCCCCTTTTTTTTTATGAAAATTATCGTGTAACCAGGGAATAGGTAATAACAAGTCGTTTAACCCCGGATCTACAATAGGTGTTTTAAGCCTTAAGTCGTAAGAAATTGGCCAATTAGAGTCGAATTTGAGGAGAATAATCGACTATGATTCGTCCATTTCTTATGACTCCTGCACACTGGTCGCGGAAAC